AAAATTGACAGGTCAGGCTTTTTAAGATTGTCTAGTTCAGGGGTGCTCAAGTCCAGTCCTCGAGAGCTACCATCCTGCAACTATCAGATGCATCCCTGCTCCAACACACCTGAATCAAATGAATGACTCGTTACCAGGCCTGTTCATAGCTGAGCCTGATCTACTGCACTGTCCTGCAACTAAAAGTTGCAAGACGGTAGCTCTCCAGGACTGGACTTGAGCAGCCCTGGTCTAGTTGATCTTTAAATACTCTCTCTGTCCTGCATCTGCTGCCATTCAGGTTCTCAACAGCGTGGCAGTAACTCCTGTTTGCTCAGTCTAGGCCAGTCACTATATCAGCTTTTGATGGACGATACATTTTCCCAGTAAATATTGCGATAAACGATAATATTGTTGTTTTGACAAAATTGTCAAGTAGTACACCGATAAAGGGATCATAGTGCAAGTTTGCCCTCTGAAAGACCAATAAATATACATTTTCTGAAGCTCTCTAAACGCCAGAACTGGAAGATGCTTTAAATAGCCAAAATAAAATGTGAGGACCAAAAACAATAAATAAAACTGCGATAAAAAAAACCCACACACAAATAATAATAAATACAGTAGATAAATACAAATAATAAATACAATAGATTCTTTAAACAGAATCTCACCTCCAACGTTTTGGCAGATTAATGAACAAAACATCTTAAACTGTTGCGTCATCTGATTTCTGTACCATGTAAACATGTTTTTGTTTTCCTCCACCTGAAAATAGCAGATGGTCCTGTTCTGGTCTGTAGGGTTAGTTGAGGTTTCACTTCTGGCTTCTTCTTCTTTGCTTCCTCATCTTTTTTTCATTTTCCATGTCTGTAGGTCAGGTTTGTACGTCTTGACCCGTAGCTTCAGAAATATCTCGGGGAGGGGCAGGGAAGGGGTTATTCCATCTCACTTGATTTCGTTTCTGCTGTTCTTCACCTCTGCTGGTTTTTGGTTTCTTCTCACAAACAATGACTCAGATATTCGGCCAAAGTTTTCAGAATCGACTCAGCTGCCCTTCTTTAAAACTAAAGGCCTTGGCGCTAATATGACAAAGTTTCCTCTTAAAGAAATGAAAGAGAAATGAAAGGATCTTACTGATACACTCTAATGTAGATTCGGTCCACTGGAAAACACCGTTCGTCTCCTGACATTTGATGAAGTTTATCGTTCCGGCTTTTCTCGTGTAGCCTGGAATACACCGGTAGCGATATGTACTGTTGAAGCATCGCCTTCTCGGACAGTTAAATCTTTTGGAGGAATCTCTGGGCATTTGCATTTGTCTGAAACAAAAACACACATTGGAATCTTTTAGCATTACTTCACTACTGACGTCATGTTAATGATCTTTTTCGCTCTTTACACAATCATGTCAACAACGAAGTTATGTGTGCCTTTGGTTCTATCTGCACGTATTATGACGAAGCCAAAACCATCAAGAGTTTATAGAGAACAAATGTTCATATTCACCGGCCATCTGTAAGGGTGATCACCCCATTAAAAGCGGGAGTTTCAGTGCTGGAGCTTGGAAAAATGTTTTGACAATGACAAGGAAGAACATTATCAGTAATTGATTGATGAATGGTCTGAGGAATTTCGAAAACACTACAAAACCTATTTTTTGTAAAAAAAAAAAAGTGCTCAAAACGACTGAACGGACCCCTGGGAATCCTAGAAAGTTGTTCTTTGGAAAAGCAAACAGAAGACATCAGGACAGCGCCTCACAGGAAGTGCCGAGCAAACATCGAAAAACAGGGTCTTTTGAACCAAATTTAAAAAATAACTTGAATTTTTTTTGCTAATTCTATTAGTTTTGCTCAAGTTATAATTGCAATTTCAGACTTATTAAAAACTGAATTATTAGCTGTAAAATTAGATAATTTTTAAAGTTCAAACAAGCATTTTTTGAACTTTAAAAAAAATACTTTTTATGATCATAAAGGAAAGGATTATAACTTACGCTTTTATTGATGTATGTCGTTTCTAACTTCTTTTTTTTTTGTACAAGTATTTAGAGTTGCTTTTAGCTGAAGGTACTACATAAATAAAGTTGCCACATCTTGCAAGTCGGAGTCGTTTATCTTTAGAAAATCTTTGGTTTGCTTGTGATTTACTCGATCAGCAAACCAAGAGATATTCTGAAGTCAAATTTGATGCCATCTCTCCGACTATCTGGGCCATCGCAGGACCGTGACTCAAAACACAGCAGCAAATCTACAACAAAGAATGTCTGAGGGGAAAAAGAAGTGCATCAAAGACCGAAGTAAGACTTCAGACCTGAAAATCGTCGAAGTGATGCGAGGCCGCAGGATGCGTGAAACGGCAAAGAGTCGACCAAAATCTGTATCTGACTGATCAAGTCAAACAGAAACCAAACTGCTTTCAGGTGCTGCTGCAAGCTGTCAAATCATAACATCTTAGATTTTACACACTATTTGTGTGTGTGTGTGTGTGTGTGTGTGTGTGTGGGGGGGGGTGTGGGGGTGTGTGTGTGTGTGTGTGTTTAAATTATTTTATGACACTTTATTTACTTTTTTTTTTTGCACCTGAAACTTCCTTCAAACTTTCTATATACCACAGTTCACATCAAATCCTGTAATTTGGTTTTATATTGAATGTTAAATATTTTCGGTTTAAGTGGAATGTTATCTCGACATCTATGTATGTTGGGTTTTTTTTTTTCTTTTTTTTTTTTACATGTAAAGGTGGCTTAACATTAAGCCAACATAGGAGGTAGTAATGGACACATGAGACCATCACAATGACCCAATTGATAAGGAGTAAGTCTAAATTATAAAAACATTCATTTTAGTATTGAGTCTATTTAAACCGATATGCATGTATATGCATGTTCTGTATGGGTGACCTTTGTTCTAAAAAATAAAAAATAAAAAATGCATGGGCTATATGTTAAATTTGAGCCCTACCACCGCTGGAGAGACGCGTCGCTCCCAGGAGACAAACCACCAGGGCGCAGACTGAGGGGTAGAGTCCATGAGGGTCCATCTTCCAGCCGGGACGACGATTCTTGTTCTTTATACCGCCTCGACCGCCCGATGTGGAGCGACTACTTTTACTTTCACTCGCTGCGAGGGCCCGCCTTAAAAAAAAAAAAAAAAAAAATCCCTCTGCCATATTTGTACTTTGAGTTGATTTTGGTTGTTGCGGTGTTTCTGGTGACACACCTGTTACTTCCTGGATTCTTCCAATGAGCCATTTCTTCATGTCCAAAGTTGTCTTTGTTTACTGTTCAACATGACCGAAGTCCAATTCAGACCAATTCCTACGTCACACATTATTGCATAAGGCTCCACAGTTAAACAGTGTCTACTTCTCACCTTCTTCATCAGCGGCGATTGAATGACAGCAGATATTAGTGGCGTAACAGCGCCCTCTTGTGACAAGACGTTGCAATAACAGACATCATAAAACGTTTAAAATGCGTAATTTTATCCCTAAATATTTGATATTTATCTGTCTGGACGGTAAACTTTTGAAACCAACACTTAGTTGGAAACTTCTTGTGTACGAACAAGACGTTTCACTTGCTTAAACTACATGTATTTTGGGCTAAACTTTTCTTCGTTAGGTGGGCAGAGAGGTCAGTCATTGTAATCAATCAATCAATCAATCAATCAATCAATCAATCAATCAATCAATCAATCAATCAATCAATCAATCAATCAATCAATCAATCAATCAATCAAATGTTATTTGTATAGCACATTTCAGCAAGGCATTTCAAAGTGCTTTACATCATAAACACAAAAACACAAAGTCATGCAACATGGAATAAACAATACATTGTTACATATTACATTTCAAATACAATTCTAAACAGGTGTGTTTTAATTGCGATTTAAAAGAAGTCAGGGCTTCTCCTGTTTTACAGTTTTCTGGAAGTTTGTTCCAAAGTTTTGGTGCGTAGATGCTGAAAGCTGTTTCTCCTCTCTTGGTTCTGGTTCTGGGGATGCAGAGCAGACCAGAACCAGAAGACCTGAGAGGTCTGTAAGGTTGATACAACAACAGCAGATCTTTGATGTATTGTGGTGCTAAACCGTTCAGTGATTTGTAAACTAACAACAGTATTTTAAAATCTATTCTTTGAGCTACAAGAAGCCAGTGGAGTGACTTTAAAACTGGTGTTATGTCTCTATCTTCCTGGTTCTAGTGAGAACGCGAGCAGCAGCGTTCTGGATCAGCTGCAGCTGTTTGATTGATTTGTTGTACAGACCTGTGAAGACGCTGTTGCAATAATCAATGCGACTAAAGATAAACGCATGAATGAGTTTGTCTAGATCTGGCTGAGACGTTAGTCCTCTAATCCTGGAGATGTTCTTCAGGTGATAGAAGGCCGACTTTGTAATCCAGTGACAGTAAAGGTTTCTTCAAATGACGTCACTCAAGTCAAAATTATGGTCCAGAAAAACTGTAGAATCACTTCTGTCACTCTGATGAAGAGGAAGAAAACTTGTATCTCAAAATTATGAGTTAGCTCATAATTGTTAGGAGATAGCATCTCATAATAATGAGGTCTTGGTAGTATAATGAGATGCTATGAGATATCATCTCATCATGCTAGTTAAAGCTATTTAAGACTTAGTTATCTCATAACAATGACTAGGTATCTCATTATTATTTGATAGTAAGAATATTTTTGTAGTTATATCATTATTGTCTCATGAAATAGTTCAGTCATACTTATGACATTGAAGGTTTTTTTTTTCCATCAGAGTGGCGGAAATTGACTTCCTTTAGAATATCTCTTTTTTTATTGCTACTTAATACCAGCATGTGGATTTAGTTTCAACAGTGGGACAATTAACCAACAGGGGATAAATAACAGAAACTTAAAAACATATGCACACCTTAATCCTAAATAAAATTCATTATTTTTATTAGAAGCAGACTTTATTTTGTGGAGTTTTATTTTGAATCGCCTCACCGGAAGTGCTGTTCTTTCGCCGCTGCTGCCGTTGAGCTAATTGACGCAGTTTTACCCGCTAGCTTCCAGGGACATCCGCTCCGGCCGGACAGCAATGGGACGGCTGCTGTTTCCATCCCAAACAATTCGATCTGAAGCGTGAAATGAGCGTCAAACATTGAATAACTGCTTGTTTTAGAGTTTTAAATCCCTGTGTGATTTATCTCGGCCCTGGTCGCGAAGCGGCGGAACTTGGCTGACTTGTTTCGTCTCGGGGAAGGAAGTTTGTTGCGGCGAAGGAAGCGGAGGGAGCCGGGAGGCCCGAAACAGCCCGACACGATGGAGGACTTCGGCTCTGCTCTGGAGAAGAACGTCGCCGACCTGACGGTGATGGACGTCTACGACATCGCGGCGGTGGTGGGCCAGGAGTTCGAGCGCATCATCGACCAGTACGGCTGCGAGGCGCTGTCCCGGCTGATGCCCAAAGTGGTGCGGGTGCTGGAGATCCTGGAGGTGATGGTGAGCCGCAGCAGCATGAGCCCGGACGTGGAGGAGCTGCGGCTGGAGCTGGACAGGCTGCGGCTGGAGCGGATGGACCGGCTGGAGAAGGAGAAGAAGCACAGACAGGTGCGGCAGACTGACCGAGGGTCGGGAGACTGACCGGGGGCCGGCGGTCTCACTGCAGTGTGGTTGCTGAAGAGAAGTCGCTTCATTAAAGTGTTATTGAAGCATACAAATAAATATGTGGGTGAAAATAGTCTCCATTGACCTGGTGTGCTCCGCTGTTGAACTGAGGCCGCACAAAAAATATTCAAAGGGCTGCAAACAGCCCCGAGCCTCACATTGGGCACCTCTGATATACAGTAACTTGTAAAAAAAAAAAAAAAAATATATATATATATATATATATATATATATATATATATATATATATATATATATATAAATTAAACAATAATAATATTGATCTAAGTTATTTAATTGCCTTTGGGCACTTAAACATAAAATACAGAAACCCTTCAGCTGTGAGCGTTTATATATATAATATATATATATATATATATATATATATATATATATATATAATATATATGTGTGTATGTATGTATGTGTGTGTGTGTATATTCACGCCCCTTCAATTTTTCTAAATTTTTCTTTTTTTTTTTTTTTGCGCAAAGTCAATAAAATAAGTTCAATCTGTGTGTCTGCAGGGTGAGAAACCAGACTTTAGGAAATAATTTATAATAAAATAATGAAAATGAAATAATCCGAGAATGCATTGAAACAAACAGCTAAACCGTATAAAGACGTAACAACAAGAACAAGAACAAAAAGCTGCGAGTGAAAACATCAACATGTAAACATTAGATCCGCTGCGGCTGACAGGACAGGAAGGCTGTGTTCATGTCTGCCAGTGTTCAGCCGGTCTGCTTCCAGGTCAGCTCCTCGTGACAGTGGCCGAGTCTCTGGCAGACTGATTAACCGGGTCTCGTGACAGTGAGGTGGCGGTGCGCGTGCACGAAAAGTGCGTTGAGTTTCACGCGCGGGAAAAGCGCAAACGCTCTCGTGGGAGAAACGTGAGTCGGACAGACAGACAGACAGACAGCAGGTTGAGGTTTTTGTCGATGGTTTTATCGCTACAAAACTAATGTAGCGATACATTAGAATCCCCACTTTTTTCTTTCTGTCACAATAAGAAGCTGAAATGTTTTCTGTAAAGTCGTAACTAGTCGCCTAGCAACAGCGACTGACCTTCTTGGCTGGGGTCGTTTGCTTTTGAACAAAGGTCACCGGATGATGACGTAAACTCTCTGGATTTAGTTCTTTTTTTTTTCTTTTTGGTTTGTTTTAAACATTATTGTAAAATAACAGTAAGAGGAAATTATCATAGTTATTTAGAGTCAGATGGTTTACCTTAGTAAAGGGGCGTGGCTATTGCTTTTAGGTGGACTCGCCTACTTTCAGCCAGCTGACAACCAGTGCACAGCAACAAGTTGGAGAGGGGCCATCACATTGTTGTAACTCTACCCTCCATGATTGATCCGATCAGTAGGTCCAGAATTTCTTTATGATCTGCCGATATTAACATGAAGACACCCACCAGGTCACGTCTCCACCGTTGCCAGTTTTAGCAACTTTGTGGCTATATTTAGCAACTTTCCAGAAAAAATAAATGCTACTGGCTGCAGCGTCAGGCACCTGTCTACCCATGTCTTATGCTGTTTGTGTTTTTCGCGCCGTCCTTTGAAATTTTGCTGTGCTTTTGTGCGCGTTGACAATAAGTGAATTCTGGTTGGCTGTAAATTAGACTAAAATGTAAACATGTGACTCAGACTTCCTGCAGGATGCAGGCCCTGAGCTGGCCAGGATGTTCACACTGTCGTAAAATGAAAATTCATGCCTCACTAGTTCTCATTTAAAGCGAGACATTTAAAGGACTGCTACGTCTTTGGATCTGGGTCTGCAGCAGATTGTGGAGCTTCACTTTGAGGTCGAAGCGGTGTCATCATTGGTTGCTTATCAATGTGTGTGCTCAGGAGTTGGAGCGGGTGGAGGACGTGTGGCGGGGAGAGGCCCAGGACCTCCTGTCCCAGATCGCTCAGCTGCAGGAGGAGAACAAGAACCTCCTGTCCAACATGTCCCTCAAAGACTCGGTGAATGAGGAGGACCTGCAGAGGCACGAGGGTGAGGCCGGCGCTTCTGAAAACCCGACGCCCACTTAGAGACCCGGAATCAGTGTGGGGAAAACTATAACTGGAGCTACATTTATAAAACCAAAACGTACCGAAATCATAAATGTTCTTTGTTTTTGTGTTTGAGAATCTATTCATTGGCCTTTTGAACTTGTGTGAAGTAGATGCATTTTCCACACAGGACCAGTTCATGTTGGACGCCTGCAAATTACGGCGCTAAATAATCCGCTTGGCGTGAGAAAACACCAGAATCCATCGTTTGCTCTGTAGTGGTTGGATACATTTTTAGAAAACGGGATCGTCTGCTGAGTATTTACCGACTGATGTGTACATGATCGCAATGGAGATGAATAACATTTGAATGATTTATTAAAACATGACGAGATGAAAATTAGACTCAAAGCTTCAGTCACTGAAGAGTCACCCGAGGACAAAAGGTGAAAGACTTTGCAGCGTCTTCGTCCAACCAAAACCGTCTTAAGTTGATAAAGTCAGCTAATCCAAGCCGATATATCATATTAATCTCGTTAATAAGAATGTTACCTGTTTTAAAGGAATGAACCCAATTCTCTTTCATTTCTCTACAGAAGCTGCTTTCCACACACTTAAAAGAAATTCTTTGTTCTTTTTAAGCTCCTCGACTTCTTTTGCCGTTTGACGTTTGGACCTGAAAAGGTCAATTTCGTATTTTCACGTTGTGAAATCTCATGTTTGTCTTCACAAAAAAGAAAAAAAAGATCAAATAAATCCGCTGCATGCGTCTCAGTTCTTCGCTCAACGGCCTCGCGCAGAGCCACACACAAAGAAAGCCTTTCTCTGCGTCCGCCTCGTCTCGACCTCTTCGTCGTCCCACACAGAGGCCGCAGTGATCCCGACGCCCCCGCCGGACAGACCGGCCTCAGTGCTGGGGAACACCTGCCAGCCTCCACAGCTTCCCCCCCTAAACTCCCCTCCTCTCTCTGCTCATAAACACTGGGGATTCAAAAAAAAACATATAAAAAATGTCAGAAACAAATCTTCTCAATTTGCAGTCCAACACTCCGCCGCTCTCTTGGTGGTGTCCAGGTATGACGGAGAGGGAGAAGCAGGTGATGATGAAGCTGAAGGAGGTGGTGGACAAGCAGAGGGACGAGATCCGAGCGAAGGACCGCGAGCTGACGCTGAAGAACGAGGACGTGGAAGCAGTAAGGCCACTTCCTCTCCGTCAAAGAGAGCAGCAGGAAAAACTTACACCGCAAAAAAACACGACATCTTACCATGTAGTTTTGTCTAGCTTCTAGCAAGAATATCTCTAAAGATTTCTCTAGAATACTTGGAGAAAAAGACTGAAATAACTTACAAGTAACTGTTTTTCTTTTTAGTACGTTAGTAATTCCTGATTATTGATGAAAAAGCGCTAGTTTTGTGGAATTATTGACTTAAAACAAGCTTGCAGAAAAATTATTTGTGAGATTTTCTTATTTCAAATGAATTAAAATATTTGCACTAAAGACTAGATCAAATATAAATGGTAAGATTTTGTTTTTTCTTACAATGTTCTCCACATTGTTGCATATCTGCCTTACGTTTGACAGGCAGTTAAAGTTAACCATATAACGCAGTAGTGCAGGTCATCTCAACCAATGAGAAACCGTTGGGTTGTAGTTTGGCGTCTCCCTCCCACAACTCCGTCTCTTCCTCCCGCAGCTCCAGCAGCAGCAGTCTCGCCTGATGAAAATCAACCACGACCTGCGGCACAAGATCTCCGTGGTGGAGGCTCAGGGCAAAGCGCTGATCGGGCAGAAGGTGGAGCTGGAGGCCGGCGCCCAGGCGCAGGCGCAGGAGGTCTGCGCCCTGCGGCAGGAAGTGACGCGCCTGCGGGAGCGTCTCCACGGAGAGCCGGCGGCGCAGGGCCCCGAGGAGCTCCCGGTGCCTCAGCCCCCGTCACCGGCAGAGGTGAGAGACACACAGAGATCCTGTTCCCACCAAGTTCAGGCTGACAGATGCTCTTAAATATATCAGGGGAAACTCTGAGACGTTTCGAATTTAAATATTTGCTTGTGGTCGAGTTTTATGTCCGCAGAAGCGGTTTAATGACACAAAAAAGTGACTTCATTCAGCTATGGTAGATTACCAAAATCCAACAGCAAAAAGATGTTTCCTACATAAAATTCCTCAAGGTTTTCCTCTGTAGCTTTGGTGTTCATTATGTGTTTCCATAATATGACCTCAACTTATGTTTAAAGCTTCAACTTTTATATACAGTTTTGTTTGTTTTTTTTCTTAAAACGGTCACTATGTCATGCTGGTATGTGAGATAGTGAAAAAATAAAGCTCCTCCCATAAATGCAGCGCTCCTGGTCAAAAGCAACCAGTTGCAGCCAGGAGGAGGGTCTGTCAGCGCTGTCAGTTAAGCTCGCATACGCGCTGCTAAATGTGCTAGCGGCGGAAAAGCAAGACGTCATTCCTGGAGAACTTTACATCCGCTGCCAGGCTAACTAGCTTTAGCATTCATGGCAGAACAAGCTAAAGCCTAGCAAAGAGCAAGGGCGAGGGTGTGAGCGTTGCATCCATGAGGGTGATTGACAAAGCTAAGACCTTCCTCTTGGCTCTGATTGGTTGTTTTTGACTGGGCAATGGATTTCTGCACTAAGTATTGGGACTGTCTCGACACAGTGGTGGTTTTGAAAATGTAAACGAAACAAGTTTAAAAAAATTTAAGTTAAATCCTGCAGCTTTAAGTTCTGCTGAAGATCTCCCGTCGCATTTACCTCAGAGACTGACAGTTTGGGGAATAATCAAGTGTTTTTCACTTCGCCAGTGGGATAAGAGCACCGCAGGGGTTTTGAGCGCTGAGGGTTGGTCAGACAGAACGGGCTTCGAGCCGCCTCCGCAGACCCATGCGTCCTTCCTCAGCTCAGAAGGACGTGACGATGAGGAAGCCGAGGACGAAGCCACGTTGCTTTGGGTAATGCAGAGCTGCCGTGATTTTCCGCCTTCTCCCCGACGACGGCGGCTTCAGAAAGCTGCCGGTCTAACGGCGTGACGCGGGCGGAGTGGCTCTGCATGGCAGAATGAAAACTAACACGGGTCAGCGGGGATTGGTTTTTTCCTTTCCTGCCAAGTGGGTGAGAACTTTCAGATGACTGCACTGACTATACGTCTAAATATAGATCAGCAAGACGACTCAACCTCAGACGGCACTTGAAATTGTTTCAGTGATCAACAAACCCTGAAAGGCTGGTTCATCTTCCAACCAAAATGAAACAAGTGGGAGATTTAGAAATATATTTAGACGTTGTATTTAGTCATCTGTGTGTTCGTTGGAAACTCCCAATGTGTACCAAATAAAATAAGTTAGAATAGATCTTGAGTGTCTGAATATGGAAACACGTTTCCCTGTGGAAAATAAAAGACATCATTTCTCCACCAACAAGCCCAACCACCACACCTTCCACTGCACTTAAAGTCACCCATTTTTAGCCGATTAGTCATTAAAACTGTATTACATGACTGCTACAATATTAGCAGAAGTTTTCCTGAAATACGTCATTTTTGCCCCCCAAAAAAACAAAAAAACAATACCTCTTTTTTGCCAAAAGAAAATCGGAACATTTTTTCAGTCATATTGATGTTTAAGGATGTAAGAACAGATCCAAGACAAGCATGTAGTTCTGTGAACTCCACACATTGTTCATCTGAAGTGCCGAGGTCGACTCTGGCTAACGTTAGATGCGCAATGGAAATTGCGTCATTTGGGTTCGCAGAGAAACGTCCGCCTCCCGAACTTGACGCTGGGCCCAGTTGAAGTGTCGCCTGATTGGTTAGAAATTTGTCACCATGTTTTGTGCGGAAATGCTCTTGGACAGCAGTGTTGGTGTTTCTCTCCAGTGAGCCCTCTTCTCTACTGCTTCCCATCACGAGGCGACGTGAATACTTTAGAGGAACGTTTATATGACGCGGAGAGAAATGATGTACATTTGTTGTAATAACTGAACTGTCAAATGGCTAGAAACTCCTGTAAATCACAGCGTCGTTATCCAGAAAGGAGGCCGCCTGCCGAAAAGTTGCGGCATTCATTTGGTGACTGCTTATGGGAACCCTGGAGGTCAGCAGCTTCAGCAGAGAATATTTATCTAGATTTCTTGTTATGTGGCCTCAGCTCAGTGTTCGTTTATTTTGTCATAAATGAAAAAGTGATTCCCATTTAAAAATTGGAAAATCGATTGAATTTGGAAAAAATTTCAATTAAACATACGATTCCCAACGTCATTCTTTTAAAACGTGAATCCGTGAGTCATTTCTAATCGGTTCCTGCGTGGCTTAGTGAGCTGCATGTGTTTGAGGTGTTTTTCATTAACCGAATGCCATTGTTTCTGGTTTGCTGAGCTGAAAGTGAGAAACACGTCACAGCTTTAAGACAAAAGAGACACAGACAAACTAACTACATGTTTGAAACTAAAAAACGCTCATATCTGACTTGAAGTCCAACATCTGCCACCAGGAGGCGATGTGTGATGAGGACATGCCTGGTGTGTTCCAATATTTCACCAAGGTATCCTCGCCTCGTACCCGCTTCCTCCTTCTTCCGTTCTGGCCGGTTTCGTTCACTCTGTGTGATGCACCGCTGTCTCGGCAGGAGGCGATGTGCGAGGAGGAGTCGGGCGGACTGGACCCGAAGGACCCCAACCGGCCCCGCTTCACGCTGCAAGAGCTGAGGGACGTCTTGCATGAGAGGAATGAGCTGAAGGCCAAAGTGTTCCTACTGCAGGAGGAGCTGGCGTACTACAAGAGGTAGATGGAGCCGAGTGTATTCCTTCTAGCTTATGACTGGACCAACAATAACACAGCTGCTTCCTTTCAATCGTTCTTCTTCTGGCTTTCATCCTGGGCTGATTTTCTGTTGATGTGATGCTATATGGAACAAAAAAAGGTCACTTTGCATACAGTGGTTTCTCTTTCTCTGGACATTGGTTTGGTTCACATCATGGTGTGTTTTTTGTTGTTGTTGCATTGTACCTTTAAATCATCATCATCATCATCATCTATATATATATATATATTATATATATATATATATATATATATATATATATATATATATATATATATATATAAACCCCCCTGCCTCCCCCGTACCCCCCCAAAGGAGGTGGAGAACGCCAGAGCTAAGATCCTGTGGGACTTCCAGATCCAGACAGACAGAATGGTAATGGCGAACCAACCAGACATTGTCGTAGTGGATAAACATCAGAGGAAAGCCGTTGTGGTAGATGTAGCAATACCAAGTGATTGCAACATCAGGATAAAGGAGCACGAGAAACTGGAGAAATACCAGGGCCTCAGGGAAGAACTGGAGAGGGCCTGGAAGGTGAAGACCACAGTGGTGCCTGTGGTCATCGGGGCCCTCGGGGCAGTAACCCCCAAACTGGAGCAGTGGCTACAACAGATACCAGGAACAACATCAGACATCTCAGTCCAGAAATGTGCAGTCCTTGGCACAGCCAAGATACTGCGCAGGACCCTCAAGCTCCCAGGCCTCTGGTAGAGGACCCGAGCTCAGAGGATAAGAACCACCCGCGGTGGGTGAGAATCCATAGTGTCATTGTTCTATCTGTACACATTATATACATATATACATTATATAAACGTTTCATATTACAAATAGACAAAAGAAGAAGAGATATCACTAATACTCTCAAAAGTTATAACAATGAATACAATACAATCAACCAGTCGTAAAGGTTTTTTTTTTTTTTTTACTGAAAGTGTACAGTCTACTATTTAAATTGTCCTGTGATCTGTGTCCGTCTTGCAACATAAATTGGGGGCTCGTCCGGGATCTTTATTTTTACACTTTGGCTTCAGATACTTGTAAGAGGCTGAATAAATCCAACAAAAGAAAAATATGAGAGTCCTGCTTCAAGACTTAATCAAAGCTATTTATTTAGTAAAGTTTCATAATTCAACAAATAAAAAAACAAGCACTTTTCCAAATATTTTCTACACGTTCCTCAACTTGTGTACTTCAGTGTATTCTGTGACGCTAGTCCAATATTCATTAATTTCTTCACTTGGTACAATATGGCTCTGTCTGACTTAGTTTCCTGCATGCTTTTGTTTATTGCCAGCATGTTATTGTGTAAAATGTGTTTTTCTTGATCTGTTAGCGTATTCAGAGGAAACACCTTTGTCCGGCATTTTCCACATATATGTGATTGACGATCGTAATCGTTTCTTTTTATAGTGATGAAGTAGACTATGACATCGCAACCCCTTCTCCGTCTCCCTCCCCTGAGCCGAGGACCCGCTCTCGGTCATCCGCCCAGCCCGAATCGGGAATCAAGCGACTGTAAGTGGCAGCTTCACGCCCACAAACACACCCGACCTGTAGCAGCCTGTCCCCGTCTCTCCCTGCTCTGCATTAAGGCAAATGATTAGTTTGCATGTGCAAAGCAAAGGGTGTTGTTTTGTTTTGTTGCTTCAGCAGTTTATCTCCCAGAGAAGCGGCTCTGCAGGGTCATAACTTTATTTCAAGCTTGTAACATTACATCACAATCTTACACACACACTCACACACACCCCAAAAAATTATTTTATTGGTCATCTCAGTAAAGCAGCATATTGCGACGGTCTCTTCCTGCGTTTGTCTGGCTGTGAAAATAAACACAGCCAGACTTACTTAGAGTTCAGCAGTGAAACTTGCTGAACTCTTTGTGGCTGCATGGGAAAGTTGATGTTCTCTAAAAACTATTGCTACCAAACAAACCCAGTGATGTACAGTAAGTAAACACTGCATTACAATGAACAGGAAGCAAAGACTTGGTAGAAGTCTGACGATCCTGGAAATTATTTTCCCACTTTTATTGTTGCCTTTTGTGTGTTTGTCACTAAGATTCTCCTTCTACACTTTACAAACATGATTGACTTTTTAAATAGTTGTTTATGCAGGCCTTTATGTGCAGTTCAAAATGGCTTCTCCTCACATGTTGACTTTTTCACTGCTTGAGACTTTATTATCTCTTCATGCTTGCTTCATTGTAGTTCAGGAGAACTAATAATAACTACGAAAAGTTTAAAGAACAGCCCATGTATTTACAGTCAGTAGTAGCTCTGTTTCCACTACAAACATGCGTAAAACTCTGTTGATATTCCGCTGATGTGAAAAAACCCAAACAAACAAACTGCAATTTCACAATTACGCCGTTTTTGTTAAATTGGAGACGCAATTAAAATCACACGTGAATTAGTTTGTTCACGTCATAAGTCATTACAAAACATTGTCCTACCACTTCCTGTCATCTTCTTTATCCTCCTACCACTTCCTGTCATCTTCTTCATCCTCCTACCACTTCCTGTCATCTTCTTTATCCTCCTACCACTTCCTGTCATCTTCTTTATCCTCCTACCACTTCCTGTCATCTTTCATCCTCCTACCACTTCTTGCCATCTTCTTTATCCTCCTACCACTTCTTGCCATCTCTTTATCCTCCTACCACTTCCTGTCATCTTCTTTATCCTCCTACCACTTCCTGTCATCTTCTTCATCCTCCTACCACTTCTTGCCATCTTCTTCATCCTCCTACCACTTCCTGTCATCTTCTTTATCCTCCTACCACTTCCTGTCATCTTCTTTATCCTCCTACCACTTCCTGTCATCTTCTTTATCCTCCTACCACTTCCTGTCATCTTCTTCATCCTCCTACCACTTCTTGCCATCTTCTTCATCCTCCTACCACTTCCTGTCATCTTCTTTATCCTCCTACCACTTCCTGTCATCTTCTTCATCATTTCCGCCAGCAGTAACATCCAGTTGCTGAATTGTGCGATGCAACAAAAAAATATCTTTTGCAGTTTTGCAAAAATGTAATTTTGATACTGCAGAAAAAACACTTTTTATCAAGAAACTTTAGGTTTTGCTTTTGTTTGTTTGGTTTTTTTTCCGAAATTGCCGTTCAGTGAATCTATTTTCATAATTCCAAATTGCGACGTTGTATGGTGGATGGGAATGCAGCTGGTGTTTCATTGTGTGTGTGAATGAACTCTGACATGACTTTTGTTACATCCCCCGCTCCCACCCTCCTCCTCCTCTTCCTCCTCCTCCTCCTCTCTGTGCAACAGGATCTTCACAGCCATAATGCCGATGGTGGCGGCTGGTTTGATCCCAGATGACCCCACTTTACAGCCAATCAGACGCCTCATGTCGCTTGTATGACTTTATTTTGTTGGTTCCTGCTAACAGCCTCCACCCGTTGCATGCGCCTCACCTTTGTAGTATTCTGATTGGCTGATTGTGGGGCTGTCTGTTTGTTGTGATGGATCATTTAAAAAAATAAAAATAAAATCAGCCAGTCAGAATAGACGTTAGTTTCGTTGTTTCACTCGATCTCTCTGCAGCTCACTGAATAATTCAGTAGAATTGACCAACTTAATCACTTTGGCCTTATTTTGTTTAGTGAATCACTTTCTAATGTTTGTACTGATCCATTAATAGGATTCTCAGTAAAATCCACATAGATTACTTCAAAAATAAATGCTATAACTTTCCAGTCATTTAGACCTTTGAGAAATCTAACAGACAAGATCACTGTAGGATATTTAAAATGAAAGCGCTTTAAGTTTCAATGAGTCCCACAAAAGAGCATTTGTGAGGTCAGACACTGATGTTGGATTCTCTCACTCATGTCCTCACGGACATGCTTGGCATACTGGTTGGAATTGTCCAAAAGTTTCTTTCACTGGGATTGAGGAGCCATCGTCTCTGAATCGAGATTGTACCGCCGGTGGTGACAGTAGCATCATGGCGTGGGATTGTTTCACCACAAGATCCTCCAATAATGTTCCTCGTCTTAAAGCGACAGCGAGACCGATCAAACCCGAAAGCAGTTGTGTGGAAACAGGAAGCATCACTGATATTAAGTGCTGCTGACAAAATGTATGACGTATTTGGCCATTTGGTTCAGAGAGACGTAACACCTGAACCGAAAATCGCAACTTGTGGAGAATGTGTAGCATTTAACAACCACATAGCCAGAGTCCACAAGTGTTTTTAATGGGTTCACAGCATGAGTACGTTAGAGTCACTGCAAAAATACGATGACTTTAATCTCAGGATTTTTTTAGAATTTTTATCCTCCAAATTTTGAAAAAAAAAAATTGTCAGGATTTTAACTATTGTTCTTCGAATTTTGACATGAATCTAAAAATTCTTACTTTTTTCTCAGAATTCTACAATTTCTCCCAGAATTTTAGACTTAAATATTTATATTCTGACTTTTCATTTCTTACAATTCAGTCTTTAATCTCAAACGTTTGACTTGTTTGTAAGGGTTCTGACTCTTTGTACTTTAATTTCAGAATTCTGACCTTTTAAACATTTTTTCTTTTGGACTAATCTAAAAATTCACTTTTTTTTCTCCTTGAAATCCTAAGAAATAAAAGTTTCTCCAAATTCACATTTCAATGACAAAATTCTGACTTAGCAATTTGTCACATAATTTAGACTTTTTTTAAAAATTTAATAATTAAAAAAGAAGAAAGAAATGAGAAGTATTTTTTTCCTATTTGGCCAAAGCATCTCCTCTTACTTTCAGTCAGTGGGAATGATTATTTGTTGGATTTTGTTCCATATTACCTGCATGAACCAAGTTAAATAATGATTCTGCAGCTGCTTCTGGGTCAGAGAGCAATAAGAACAGTTAGATCAGATCTTTTATATCATTTGCAACATTTTTCCTAATGAATGTCTCCTTAACACCATATTTCTTTCACTTAGTTTTAGCTATGAAATTTAAACAAGATCTAAAACCACTACCACACCCTATCCCCAAAGAGCCCTGAAGGGGGCGACATTAACAGCACTGTTACTCCTAACGCCGCTTTTCGTGCTTTCGTTCAGTTCCTGACCTCACAGACGTGACGGTGTTTCAAACTTGTCCGTCTCGTCTCTTCAGGTTTAGCTTCTTTTCACGCGACAAGCAGAGGGGCGCGCACATCGGCGCCGGAGGCAGCTTCCGGTCCTGGATGCAGAAAGACGATGTGTACACAGAACAAGCCCAGGAGGCTCTGCAGCATCTGTAGGATGAAGGAATACACTCCACTCCTCCCCACGCGCATCAAACTACCGTGACAGACTCTTTCTGTGCTTCAACCCGAGGGGCCTTGCAAGAAACGAGAGGATCTTCTCGGAGAAAAGCCTCAAGAGGCTTATTTAAATAGAGACGATACGCTGTCAGTTTAGAGACTGCGCAGCGTTTGAAATGCCAGAAAGTGCTTTAGTTTTCCAGGAATCGTTCCCACTGCAGGTGGTTGACCCACATTGAAGGACGGAGAGGGTGGATATTGACGAGAAGACGAGTCGGGAGCGTCAAGCAAATTGATTTCGACTGAAAAGAAGAACGTTTTTCAGATTTGTACTTTTTATCAGCAGAAGGGGAAGCTGCGAGGGAAAATTGGACACGGTTCAGTTTTACGGTATTTCCAGCCACGTTGGTCCTGACATGTGACCACCACCAGCATTTAGCGACTGCTGAGCGGCTCAACTCTGCGTCTAATCATGATTTAAAGCGGTTCCATCACCAGGAAAAAAAACAGAGGCTCTGGAGGTAGTGGAGGCCATTTCTGCAAAGAAAACACCATGAATGAGTGAAGGTGACGCCATGCCAACACTGCAAACTAAAACTCAAAAACAAATGATACAATTGGCAAACTTTGGCTTTTTGCCATGATTGAGTTTATTCTAATATTACACCATGCACGATTTCAACACTTTTTAGCATAAGAAATTAAATTTATCTCATCAAGTTACGTTCAGCAACCTCCCTAGTTCTGATTAGAAGACCAAATACGTGTCGTATCCCTGAGTCAGCAGATCTTTTACATTAAAATCTTGTAATTTGTACAAAATAGTAACAATATTTTAGTAAAACAAAGCGGACAAGGCTTTTTCAGTCATTGTAGAGCCAAAAACGTTAATGGGGTTTGCGTGCTTGCCCTATTAAAAACGTTATAAACACGTACACTTGACACTTTAGTTATGTGGGAGTGATTTTGATTTTCTCGCCTATCTTCAGCAATAAAAGTGGATTTAGGTTTTGCCTTAAAAAAATATAGCTTTCAAATCAATCGCTGTAATTTTGTCATAGAATTACAGTATAATAATTAATCACTTTGAGATAGCTTTTGTTAAATTTTATGTTAAATATGCAATATTTAACATAAAACTGTTGACGTCGGATTTTCTTGGCAGAAATGGGATTCCATAGAAATGTTATTCGTTCTTTTTGTTCTGACTCGTTAGGAAATGAACCATTTTCTCCGTCGATTAGCAATACTTTTCTACCAGTTCAATCTGAATGTATACAATAATCCTCCAATAATATACTTCTGCAACTCTAACGGTGCCAAACTGTGCAAGACGGCCATTAAATTGAAACTTTAGTTTCGCCGACTCAACCAAAACATTTTGTCTTTACATCCGCTTTGTTTCATGATTTCACAGCAGACGTTTCTCCATGTTACACTACTTTTACACACACACAAAAACGTATGGAAGGCTGCGTTTAATAAATAAAGACAAACAAATAAGCTCAAATGTACAACGTTGCAGACGTGGTGACTGACGCAGAGCAAACGCCACGCCGCTGTCCTCTCAATGGATCGCTTGCAGCTCGGCAGCGCAGACATCCGGAAAAGTCGCACAGGAGATGAAATGTTTTGGATGGGAAGGATGCAGTTTTTATTTAGTTTTATATTTGTTATGTTTTTGCAGTTTGTGCTTCGTTCGCTGCAGTGAGATAAGCTGTGTGTTTTACTAGTGACAGCACTTTATCCTTATTTACGCTCCTCAGAGAGCCGGAATAAATTATTGTAAAAAGGACAAGAATGCTACATAGGAAGAACACGATGATAAAGGCAACTGTGTTTTTGTGTGTGTGCAATTAAGCAATTTCTCTCTTTTTCTTTTCTCACATAATTAAGCCTGGAAGGACAATAACAGAAAAGGGAATCCAGACAAAGCAGCTCGATATTTCTCTCCTATCATGTCTGAACTCTTAACAAAAGCATCATGGCTCCAATTCAAACCTGTTTCTTTAGTAATTAAAGTCATTAACATGAAAAGGGTGTCGTGTTTCTTCATTTGACTCTACATGCTGATTTTTTTTCATCTTTTCCATCCACATAAAGTGAAAAATTAACTCGTCGCGGCTTTACAGCTCTGGCTCGACACTCGGGGTAAAAGCGAAGCAGGTGGACAAAGCAGCAGTTTGAGAGACGGCTGGTCGATGGGAAGGGATGCTGGAAGGAAGTGCTCACCACACCACGGCACTGCGAGTGTCCACACTGAAGAGTGTTTTCTGGGCTGAGGTACTGTCTTGTAACTAGCGATGGGCAAATGATGCTTCCCGGCCCACTGCTTCGCCCAAAGGTTTGTCACTGAGTAAAAGTATCACTAATAGGGTCATGAAAAAAAATTGTTCACATATTTGTCAAAATGTCATTTTTTTTCATTCATCTTTACATTTTCCAAAACACCATTTGTCATATTTGCATACACAAGCTTAAGGAATCTTTTTTTTTGTAAATTGGGGGAAAATTGAAACCCATTTTGTCCCACTTGTAAAGAATCCCCGGTTTATGAAATCGCAGCAAAACTGTCAAAAATGCCAGTGTACGTTTTTCCCTTGTGGTGTTGCGCTCTATTATGCTGGAAATGACGCAGATATAAGATCCTCAAATTGTGGCCACGTCGTTTAGAAAGTTGCTCTCGGCATCACTTTGAAGCCCATCTTTGTGCTTCCTGCTGTTTGTGTTTTTTTTTATATGTTTCTTCTCGAACAGAAACGGTTTCTTTCCCGGCCCTTCCTGTCACAAGCCCTTTGTCCTAAAGTCTCTCTCACCAGAGGCGAAGACGCGCAACAAGAAGTGGATAGAAATTGGAAAAAGAGGATCAACATGTTCAGAAACCTCAAAAAGTTGAGATGCGTTTGACAAAAACTGTCCGACTGGTGAAGCCCTAAATTCAATTCTAAATTCAGTTCTCAACTTTATGCTTGAATCCCAAAGCTGAAAAAAAAAACCCTACTGAAAACACTCATCTTCCCATAAAAACAAACCAGATGCACCAGTCCTAATATTTGCATATTAAATCTTTATTCATGAATGCTCGAACACCAGCATCAAGATTTCTTCGGCGCTACAACAACAATTTTCTGTCCTAAAACTGTAAAAAGCCAGTTTTGCCCACTTAAATATTTATTGCATCTGTTCCATATCGGTTTTTTTTTTGTTTGTTGTTTTTTTTTTAAATGACAATGTAATGTACTTAGAGATGTTCATATTAAAACATTTTACACAAGTGTTAATCCTACCAAAGAGAAGTCGTGTTAAGACAGGAAATGACAGCGGCCTGAAATTTCTCGACTGGCCTCTTCGTACAGACATTGTTTGCTTCTGTGAAAATCAACTGTGAATGATAAGAAAGAAATGCTGGCTGAGCAGGGAAAAAAAAGACTTAAAACACTTATAAGTACATATAAATAACAAAATAAATGAACGCGAATAAAGTTACCGCTGATACAAAAAAATGGCCTCCTGCAAAAAGCCGCCAAACTACAACTAGTTGGTTAAAGATGAGCAAATGAATGCCAAACTTGAGTGTCTTTCCAACTGGCTTAAGTTCTATGACAGAAGCGACCAACGACCCAAAAGTTGAATCTTAAAGTTTCACACAGCCTTGAAATCTAATTGCGAGGCCACATGCTTAAATACTGAAGTTGAGCAGAAACTCTTGAACCAAACATTTCCTCGTCAGTTTCAAACAGCAGCGACGCTGGCTTCGCTTTTCAGCTGCCCGGCAAAATTCTTGCAAGAATCTGCTGATTGATTCCTCTCGTTATTTTGTTGGATCATGTCGCGTCGTGTTTAACCTTTGTTTGCAGCGAAAGGCAACATATGGAGCCGGCTTCTGAAATCAGCTTCCCTCCGTTTTAGCTGAGCTGTGAAGCTGCAGCAGTAGCTTGGGTTCAAAAAAGAACTAATTATGTTAATAGAGGGGGGAAAAAACCTGAATAAGTTCATTTTCCACAAGTCACCCTTAGGAAGGAGACCTGGGCCATTGCCAATATTAACCAATATTAAAAATCCACAACATCATCATCATAATAATAGGGCAGTAATCAACAAGTTAGAAGGAACATGAAAATGCTCACTCTTGTAAAAAAACAACTGCTTTTCATTGTTATTCACCAATATTAGGACCAGATCTCTGTTTAGAATAGCCAGATCCGGATGCCCCGCCTCTCTCCATATGAATTCATGCCGTCACGTTTGTTGTGCCTTAATTACTTTATGACACTAATGTGGAACAACTGAAAATGATCCGGTTTTATTCACATAAACTCAACAGACTTCCTATTGCTCTTTTGATCTGAGAGGGTTTCCAACATGCTTTTTTGTTCCGTTACAAATGTGCACAAAATTGCCAATATTCTGCTAACGTTAAAAATTTTTTTAAAAATCGCAACTGCGGTGTTTTTGAAAGAAACTTCAAACAAGACCCACAAAATCATACAACAGTTTGTTCATGCGACAAGTTGTTCAAAAACACACTGCGGTGTCGTCATCCTCTAACTACTTCCTGTCGTCTTCTTTGTGATTTGTGCCAGCAGCAACATCCCGTTGTTGATCATGAGACTCGTGTCTCTTGATCCAAAAAGCATTTCCATTGGAGTTTTGTCAAATCCACCAAATTTGATTAAAATAAATAAATAAATAAATCATCATCCTATTGAAAAATATATTTTTTTTCTTTAAAATTGGTGTTTCTCTTGTGTCGATATCAGCACTTCCAATACTTGATGAGCCAATGACTTTAGGGCATTAAAACCAAACGTGTGTGTCGCCCAAATCAAAACCCTTAAAAGATTATTCTTTTATTCTACGTTGCATTCTGAAACACTTTGTTTTTTGAATTTAGAAGACCTCGACTTTAGACGCTTCGTCACCGTCTGGCTCAGCATTTGGTGATAACTCCTTTCATGGCCGACAGGTGGAGGAAGTGGGATCAGCGTATCAGCTAAAGATCAGTGGACATTTAATCAAACAAATTTTAACATACACTTTCATTCAAGCAGTTACAGCAAAACATTCTGCAAAGGAATCGCAGAACCTTTATATTATTTTTAAAAATTTTTTCCAATTCAAATGTAACAGTTGTGTTTAATATTAAAAAATACATTATCATCTAAAAACAAAAGAGGAAAAAATAATTATATGTATATATATATATATCACACTAGTTATTTCAGAGTTGCACAAGCTTGCGTCACATTTTGACTTTTCACCGAGCGTCAAAACATGATCGAAAGCCTCCAAGATGGCAGCCGAGCCAGGAGTGTGACATGGCCACCAGCGGCGGCAAACGGTTTCCATGTGGGACGGCGTGTTGGAGCCACCAGAGGCAGGAGAAGAGAAAAGAGGAGTGAACTTCCAAGAAAGCACTCGCAATCTGAGGGCTTGTTTTTTTTCTGATTTTTGACTTTTCAAACCCTGAAATTGTAGGTTTTTCTTGAAAATTGCCGAGATTAATCTAAGACAAAACATGTTTGATTGTTTTTTGGTTTTTTTTAGAAAATTTCTCAGTTTAATTTGAGGATTTCTGAGTTTTTCCTCTCATATTTTCAACTTTTCAATCTCACAAATTTCAGAGTTTTTCTACAAACTTTCTGACATCAATCCCAGAATTTCTTTTGTTTTTCTTGGAAATTTACTCCTTTTAATTTTTTTCTCCTACCTGCAATGGCCCTAATATGCTGTCGTATCCATAGCTGAAGTTCACTGGAGCAGAATATTTTTCCTAAAAAGCCCCAGAGGTTTTTTTTGTTTGTTTTTTTTCCTGTTGAACTTGGATATCATAGTGCTTGTTGATCCAAAAGGGAGGAGGGGTCTGAGAAGCTGTTCAGGGAAGTAATGCTAAGTATCTAAGGATAAATTACAAACAAACAAAAAAACTGTATAAAAAATGCTGAGCATTAACTGCCACCTGCATGCTGTAGAGGCATTGGTCTTCAGGAAGTACAAAATGTACAAAAGAAATGTGCTGCAAAACAACCAGAATGTTTCAGAGACACATATAAATAAAAGTACGCAGGTCCGTCCGATTGGAGCAGACGGACCTTAATCGAAATGTAAATAGGTACCCTAAGCCCCACTCCGCTCCAAACCCACCCCGTTATCTACCACCCAGCGTTCTCTGCACGGCAACAAAAGGGGTACACATTCTATTTCTAAGGCAACATGTCCGCTAGCTATGAGAAACACAAGTGTCGCTGACCGCCTCCCGTCAGTACTTGAGCCAGGGGTGAGCGGCGATGGAGGCTTTGCTGCGGTCCCCGTAGTCGTACAGCAGCTCCTCGCCCTTGTCGATTTCTCGGGAGGCGACCAGGATGAGGTGCGGCACGCCGTTGATGTCGTGGAGTTTGGTTTGGCAGTTCCCGTTTTTGCTGTGGTTTATCAGCCGGCCCATCCGACCCGTCTCTTTGGTGGCGTCCACGCTGCAGGGAGCGGAGGGGCAGAAACGCAAACAATAAGCAGACGTCGGTTTTGAAGTCTGTCCTGGATTAGCTTGGATATTGTTTCAGTTAGACATGACTACTTTTAAGTCATATGTGAGTAAAGCAGCTGGGTAGGGCTCAAGCACCACTAGGGGGCCCCCAAGCGCAAAAAGCTGTTGATAATTTTTTATTAACATTGAATAATAAAAACTAAATGCTATTGCACATGGAAAAACTTTTTCTACATCATTCTTATATTTGCCGTGCATATAATGGGTTAATCTCTTCCTGCTGCTGTTGTCTTCTGGCTAAACGTGTTAAACTGTTTCTTGATATTACTTTCAAATAGTTACAATAATGCGGCAGAGTTAAACACCACTCTGCATTTCAGAATTCAAATACGCTTGCAGTGATCTGTTCAGTGCAGTGCTGACATTTTTGATAGTTTTTCTACCCTCTTAATATTTCATATCGAGTCAAAACGTTTTCCTACCAGTACGTTTTGCAGAGGTACTGAAAGTAGTACATGTAGCAGCCGGTCGCAGGGTTTTGGGCGTACTCCGCCTCCCTCTTCTTTGCGTCGGTGATCTGCAGCAGGTCGCCGTGGTACTCCACGATGTAATCGCCTTTCTGGAAACACTGAGTGGCAAACACCGCCCTGCCCTTGCCCTCTATATGCTGGACCTGCGAACGGAAAGGACTCCGTGGTGACACCGGGCATGCCGACTTAAACGTCAAGCAAATCAGGTTTCGACGCGTCGCCGGCAACGAACACTGCAGTGAGTATTGGGAGTTTATCGGCATTGACCTACATTACCTCCATTCCCTCCTCGATGCCATTGATGATGAGATCATCGATGAGCTTCTTTTGTTCCCACTGGTGAGGCAGAGCAACTTTATTTAATGTCACAGGGTCGGACAAATTTACGGAGATAAAACATAAGCACCTCAAAGAAATAATAATGGGAAGTAAAGTACTGCATCACAGGAAGAAATATTAAAATTCGAATTGAACTGTTGACCTATCGGTACCACCAGTTTGACCGGAATCCACAATTGTGGAGATTCACGCCCAAAAAAACCCCATAAATCCATGCAGGTTTCACATTAAAGTATAATTGTGAATTTACTACAAGGTTTCCGCAAAAATGATAAAAGGCAAATGGATTTAAATGACTAACTCACCTGCAGGGGGCAGTATTTCTTACTGCCTCAGAACTTACAGTCGACCGTGAAAAACAACGAGTAACGAAACGGAGCTAATCCCTGTTTTAGTTTAGAGTCAAAGCAACGTCTCCTTACCTTGAGTTCAGTTTTGCTTTTTCTTGAGCTCCGTCTGATTGGATAGAAGTCGGTGACTTTTCGGTTCTGGGAGTTTTTGCCTCCTTCCCTTTAGTGGGGGAACAAGAAAAAAGGAAAAAAAGGAAGATGAAATACAAAATGGTAAATAATTTGCCATCCACCATCACACCGCTTACAATTTCAACTCATATTATTGTTGGCATGAGAAAAGACAACGTCACCTTCCCTTGCACCTCATCGCTGCTGACGTGGAAATAAAACTGAAGTGAACTGAACAGATCAACAACAAAAAGCTGAAAAGGTCAGCTGACAACTGGAGAAATTAAGTGCACAGCCATGATGGGATTAAAGCTCCACTGATTAATGGGCGTGTTTATTTGAGTCAATCAACAGTATTGACTCTTAACAAGGTTTTAGTGACGTCATTTTCCCTTTCTCAAAAGCAAAAGCTTTCCTGAGCTCTTTGTCCTTTTGCTGTGAGGTTTGACTATTTCGTTTGACTTATTTGGAAAAAAAAAAAAAAAAAAAGAAGGAGAAAAGATTTTGCACATCCATATTTTCTTACAATTACATTTACTATATGCAACTGTTGTACTTATTTGATAATAGGTGAATTTTACTTTTAGCCCAGTATTTAATTTTGGGAGGCCCCTACTGTATGCAATTATGCAGTTATAGTTCAAATTAAACTGTATTTTAAGTAATTTTTTTTATCTGCAATATTATTATCAAATATATATATTTTTAGTTCAGCAAAGAACTATTGAACCTTTCCATTTTCACTTTAGCTCATTCTCCAGTCACTGTAACTCTGAATCCCCCCACTAAACCCCCCACAGCACCCACTGGCACCAGAATCACCAAGATATTTTATTAATACAATCATGACATTATTCCACTGCATCGTAATCAGGGCATACGTACGTCCTCCTGGTGGATTTCTTCCCCATGACTTTGGCCCGGGTCCCTCTCCTCTGGTTTCCGTGGAGTGCGCCGCCGTTGTTGTGGTTGCCGTGGAGGGAAGCGTGAGACAAGCTGTTGCCGAGGGGCATAGGGAGTTCATGAGGGGGGCGATGGCAGAAGAGCTGCGGGAGGGTTGGCTGGTCGGTGGGCCAGCAGGGCGGACGCTGGCCGCAGGCGCTGCCGGCCGCCGTCAGATCCGGCTTTGGGTCTCTGAGCGTGGCGCCGACGGGGTCCGCTGTCCTGGCTGGGAGAGAGACAGAGAAATATCAGAGGCGGGTAGAGTAGCTCCAAAAAAAACACGTTCAAACATGCAGCGACCCCGTCGGACTACAGAGAGGAAGATGCCGACCTTCAGGTTGACTGGGAAGGTCAAGCTGCGGGACGCAGACGGGAGAGCCCCGCCCCTCCGGCGTCAACCTGATGCTCGTCTTCTCGTCATGAGCTGCTGGCTTGGACTTGGCGCAGCCTAACGCCATCACTGAATGAGGGCTGCACACCACTTCCTGTAAAGAAAAGAAAAACAATTCGAAACTGTCCTCTCCAAATGATTCCAGCTGTAAAGTCTGGGGCTGTTTAGCTGCAGGAGGAACTGGTGCACTTCACAAAGTGGGGAAGAATCTTATGTGAAAATCTTGAGGCAAAATCCAAAGACACAAGTCAGGAAGTAGAGATTTAGGTGCAAGTGGGTCTTCCAAATGGAATATAACCCCTGAACATACAGCCAAAGTGGTTCCAGGCAAAATGGCGTCAACAAAGTCAGTGTTTTGGTGTGGCAGACACAAAGCCTTGAATTTACTGACAGAGCTGAAGATGTGAGTGCGAACGAGGAGGCCAAAACTCCAGCAAACACTTAAAATCTTGTGGAAGAAAAACCCCAAAACTTTTGACTCGAGTCAAACAGTCTAAAGGCAATATACAAAATACTGAGGAAGTGTATGTAAACTTCTGATCTCGAAGGCAAAACTCTGACCTTTGATTATTGGGGCATTTAGCAAACAGAAATTATTTTTTGCTATTCTAACTAATTCAAAACAAGACAAGTTTGGCCTGATTTAACTTCAGACAATAAGAAACATTTTCTTTTGATTTTTATGTATTGAAACTTTAGTAAATTCCTTAATTTAGCCCAAAAGGAAGCACTTTATACACTGACAGGACCAAAGTGCTATACACAATCATAAAATACAATGCAATTATAAAATAAAACAGATCGAATATAAAATACATATTAATATACAGAGACAATAAAACAAAGTGAAACATCTCAGATTGTGCCATATATATATATATATATATATATATATATATATATATATATATATATATATATATTATATATATATATATATATATATATATATATACAGAAAAAAAGATGTGTCTTAAGAAGGCAGTGAAGAGGCCTGAATACGCCCAAAGGAAGATCAGTCCACAGAAAAATCACTTTGTCTTTGGCACCTTCAGGAGCAACTGATCAGCTGACCTGAGGGAACAGGAGGGCATGTAAGAATGTAACAGCTCAGACAGACAGGGAGGGGCAAGGCCATTAAGAGCTTTAAAAACAAATAAAAGGATTTTAAAATGAATCCTAAAATATACTAGAGCAAAGATTGGTGAGGATTTGCCAAAAATCACTACCTCTGTCTTATCTTCATTAAGTTTGGAGAAATTTAGGGTCACCCAGGCCTTCAAATCTTCCAGACATAAAAACAGAGACCGAAAAGAGGTGGAGTCTGCGTTCTCTAGTGGTAAGTATATCTGTGTGTCATCTGCATAACAATGAGATGACACATTAGTTCTATTGTTAGGGGTTTCTATTTTTTAGAAACCCCTAACACACAATGAAATGGAAAGACGTGGAAAGAAACGTGGTATTCTGAATCATCCGTCTGAACCCGGCCAGCCTGCGTTTCATTCTGCCAAAACAAACAAAAAGAACAAAAAAAAAACACAGACTCAAAGATCCACAAACAATCAAGACAGTGAAGCTCAAACAAGGAAATCAAGATTCTTTAAAAAAAAAACCCAAGAGGCAACGTTCACTAAACACTCTTAGCTTTCTGTTTACAGTCGGATCTACTGTCAAAATGAAACTAAAACGCAAACGGCCTCAAGTGAAAACAAAACCGAGGTGATAATCCTGTAGAGAGTCTATTTTTATTCAGCACTATTTAATATATAATATTTAAAATCAGAAATTTACATGCACCAAGTGTTGGCATTTTATTTCTTGTCCTGCATAGCAATTCCAAAATGAGGATGTTTCATCTAATGGCAAATTTATTTTCATTAACATAAAGTCATGCAATATTGGGCTTTTCTAGGCCAATTCCAGACTTTATTTGACCTACAGATCTATTGTTTTTATCCTACGAACTTCAAATACAGATATTAGAAATGTCTACACAAACAAATAATGAAGGAATATTTAATTCCCTTTTATTCCCCTATCTCCTGTAATTCATCAGTGGATATGTTACCTACCTTTATCAGGGTTTTCTTAACACTAAAATAGCAAATTCACAGTAAAATAAATAATGACCAAAAAAAAAACATATATATATATATATATATATATATATATATATATATATATATAATATATATATATATATATATATATATATAATAACGAGTGGAAAATTAATCCAGAGGTATCAAAACTTTTAACGAAAGGTTTGGAAAGGGCCGAAGCCTGAGGCCCAGATTTACTGAACCAGGAGAAAACCTGTCAGGACAGGCGTTCCCCAGGGCAGCCTGCTCGGCCCCTTCCCGTTTGCTTTGCTTCCCTATCACCATACTGCCAAATCTAAATCCATATTTGCAATAACATTTGCTGATCAACAACAAACAGATGAGTGGCACAACTGGTGAGCTGATGCCACGGAGGAGAGACACTCCTATCTTGAAAGAGATTTTTTTATTATTATTATTAATAAATAAATAAAGTATGTATTAAAACAAATCTCTTCGATATCTCTATAGTGAGGCTGTACTCTTTGAATAGCTGATGTGGGAGGGGCCCCTAGATGCGGGGCCACGCTGGATCCTCACCCACTAGCTCCACTCAGCCTGACTAGTCCCTTTAAATCCGCAGCACATCTACAAACAGGCCTGCTTGTCACTAACTCCTGCTTCAGTCAGCTCAAACTGATGCGTGCTTTCACGTCAAACTGAGAAACACTGCGGGGGAAAAAGGAAATACGCGACATGCTGGTTCTGTTAAACGCAATAAATTGCGGTTATATGACCACCTGACATGCATGTAGCGGTCGTAACTCACTAGCTGACGAACTAGCCGTTAGCACTGTTAACAAAAAGATCCCATCTGCAGCTACAGCAACTACACAAACTTCTTATTTAAAAAACACGGTTAACTACAAGATGACTGTCTGGTATCACTTCTAGAATACAAACAGGTTATCAACCCGATTCTTGGGATGTTTTCACCAATACTTCCCCACTTTGGCTAGCTTTGTGTAACCTCTTTTACATGATGCCCAAACAAGCAAACTTACCCCGTTCATGTCCGAGTTGTTTTTGTGACTCCCTGCTCCCGACAGACACCCACTCAGAAGCTGGCCTCGGCCCACTCCCACAGGCCGCGTGCCCCTGACACAGCCACACAAATCCACGATGTCCTATTGCACTTCTGTTGGACGGGGGAGTCGCCGACAGCTCAACCGCTGCAGCCTCCACAACCCCACTCCGCCATGTTCCTCTTGTGTGGAAAATGAATGAGAGGAGTTGAAATGCTGTCGCCCCCTGTCGGTCTTCAGTGGCAGTGCCCGTGCGCTTGGGAAAAAAAAAAGTTTGTTTACAACCCAAGCACTGCGTTTCTACACGCAACAACCAAACCGCAGTTTTTGCAATTTCTATTGTTTTAAGCATGCAAAAATGTTTTTATAACATTTTTTTTCTTTTTTCATTCAACTATAAACTAAAGGAAATAAAAATGTATGTTCCTCGGAAAAGTAAAATGAATACAAAAACACAAATTAAAAGTTAAATGAAACAATGTGAGGAATGTTACGTATTTAGTACTGTATCATAATCACTGCGTAGGTACAATAAAAATATGAATTCACACAACCACACCAGGTATTATGGAAAATGATTAGTGTCAATTGGAGAAAGAAAATGAATTCGGACTTTGATCTCCGAAATAAAACTGGCATTTAAGACAGTTCACATTATGATGAGATTATGTCTGAATTCTAAGAAATACTGTAAGATTTCTTTTAATAAATGTTGAGTTAATAAGTGGAACTTGACTAAAATGCATTTGAATGTTTTGTGTATGATACTTAAATGTGAAAACCTGTTAAATAAACTTGGGAAATCTGAGGTCTGCACGTTAGCACCCCCTACGGGCAAATAAAGTTACAGCACTCAGCGCTTTCTAAGATTGCAAAACTATTTCCTTGTTTAATTAAACAATTTATTTCACATATTCTACACTGTGTGGTACAATATGTTGGGAATTTACTAGTATAACACAAATAATATGATTGTAAATCTTTTAAGATTGATGTTTTTCTTTAATTTTTATATTACATTTAGCATGTGTATGTGTATATTCCTCAGTCATGACTGGAGGTTCATTATCAGTACAAATCAGTACAATAATAGCAATTTAATCAATGTAAAATATGTTAATTTTGTTTTGAAGTCAGTGGGAAAACTCGCCACACCTTTTTTCCAAACTCAGGGTTTGGGGGGCAAAGGGCACAAAATGCAATTTGACCTTTTCCCCCTGTGCTAGAGAAAAAAACACTCCACAGAGTTAACCATCACATTTTGAAAACTTAAATGTAGAAGGGGAAATCTCTCACTCATTAAGTCACTATAAACATGACACTGACTGATGAACTTTGAACTCAGTCAGTCATTCATTACATATATGAACTATATTTTCAACCTATCTTATTTATAAGATAGGTTGAATATATATATATATATATATATATATATATATATATATATATATATATATAATATATATATATATATATATAACTTCTCTCTTTTTATTTACTTCAGGGCAGCTTTACAGTTTTTTTTATTAAAAGCTGCCCTGAAGTAAATAAAAGAGAGAAGTTCAAATACAAATACAAAGAGAAAAAAAAGGAAGAGAACGAAGAAGAAGCATCCACCGTCGTCACTTCCTATCGGGACCTGTCAGGGTCACGTGATGTGGTATTAGCTCGCTGACTCTGCTATGTTTTTCGTTTGTTTCACTGTTTCAGATATGCGACGTTTCATGCTTTTATGGGTGTGTTGTCGTCGAGGGACGCCCCGCGGCCGCTCTAACACCGGTTTTCAACGGCCTCCGTCGAGCACTTTTGCCCTGAAAACAGCAGCCGTGGGCCTGCACGTCACGTGACCAGCATGCGACGGTGCGTTTGATAAAAAGATGGCGTGAGCTCGAGCAGAGAGGACAAACAAGCGCCCGAGCTGCAGAGAGCTGCCGACCGTGAGCCGCAGCTCCCGTATTAAAGTAACGTAAGTGTGTCTTAGCGTGAGAAATTGCTGTTTTTTCACAGTCTTAATGAAAAACAAAGTTAATCTAAAACAAAGTCTTAGTTGTTGTCACATTTTTACATTCAAGTGATTAACCATGGTTTGTTTCCAGGCTTTTAGTCTCTGTATCCTGGTTGCTAACGTTAGCAAGCGACATTAACAGAGGCACAGTGCGCGTGCGAGAACCGTTAATAACGCTAGAACAACAGGGGCCGTCGGCTCGCTGCTTTAGCCTCCAGACTTAGCTTTCCTGAAGCAGGTTAGGAAGGACAAGGCTGGCCGCTGAGTGAGTTTATCTTTTTAACAGTCTGCCTGTTCATTTTTGCTAACGTCATTTATCAACAACTGATTAACTTAAGCGGCGCCGCTTTAACGAGCAACCTGTAAACTTTAGGAGCTGTTCTGTTACAACGTACGCCTGCATCAAGTATGCTAATGTTTGCTAATGATTAAATATATAGTGATAAACGGGGGAATAAATGGTTTCTAACACGTGAAGCTGTATCGGTGGTCACTGTCAGTAACATTTAGCTGTAATTGTGTGATTTCTGTCAACATTTAGCCGCGCAATGCCAAGCATCATGCACGCTTGATTTACTGGCAGGTACTTAGACCCCCTGTTGCCTGTTTTATCGACGTGAAAATGAATGAGTGCATCGAGGATGTTTATTTAGCTTCTGGATAGAAAGCAAGCTAGCAAAGGAAAGCTAAGTCACCCTGCTCTCCCCAGGCCAGTTTAGCTGGTAATTCAAAAGTGAAAGGGAAATGTTCACGAAAGTATGTTAAGTTTTGTCCTTAAAACGGATCACTAGTCCCCATAGTATATGAATATATCGTTTTTAAACTGCAGTACGGCAGTGTACATGCAAGATAGGCGTTAAGGAGATTCTGCGTTGTGTCGGTGAGTGCAGGAAGTTGTAGGCAGGGCATTGCAAACACGTGTCTTATTTTGGGTCACTTTGAAACAACTCGTGGCTCAGACCATTGAGACATTACTGTGATTATAAATATCTTTACTGTCTCTCGATCAGAACATGTTCACTATCCTGCTGCGTTCTCATTTTAAACACTTCATTTTTGTTTCAACACGAGATCTGGTTCCTTTAAGACAGTCATGTTTTTAGTCTTACACACTGTAAATACACATGTAATTAATTGGGCATCACAGCTTTAACCCATGTGTTTTAAATGCATTTTAGCCCTATGTCTGGATATAATTATAACTCTGTATTTAATTTATTGCCTGTTTGGCACTGCATGTTACACTTGTGGTGCTCACTATAAATCATTCAAAAATATTTTATGATTAAAGATCATACAATGCACTCGTTTTACTATATTCAATTAGTCAATTATTTAATTTTTCCATAAATGATGCACATTTAATTATTACATTTGAGTTTTTATTTTATGCTAATTTGATTCCATTACTAATGTTGAGGATATTAGAGGGTTAGTTTTTGTTTATTTTGAACATATGTTTTACAGTAAAAGTGAACTCAATGCTTTAGGATTCTGCAAGGTGCATTATAATAAATGCTGACAGTGTTACAATCACTGTGGAAGATTATATTCCACCGACTTAGTCTATGTTTTTAACATTGATTGTTGGCAATATTACAGGGTTTTTTTTATGAAATAATGTCCTGCAGGTTCTTTGCTGGTTGTCGTTTAAATCTAGTAGTTTGTTCCCACTAATGAATCACACCTCATGTCTTTGACCTTCCTCTTGATTTTTACTAAACTCAAAGTGCATTAGATATTTACTTTCTTGTTGTGTTCATATACTGAAAACTGACATGTTGCATAATTTTTCAGAGTTTGACCTGTAGTGGCTAACGGAGCCAGTCAAGGGAAATTTGGTGAATTCAGAAATATATAACAGATTTTGTGCATTTGTTATATATTTCTGATCAATCATTGGAAACGTTACATTTTTCAGTTCTATTGATTTTCTGTTGTTATTTTTTGTTTCTATTCTAAACAATGGAAAAGTCAGAGTTGGTTTAATGTCCTACTTTAATTTGCAGATGGATCCTGGACAGGATTTGCTTCTTGCTGCTTTAAGTGAGAGTGGAATTTGCCCAAATGATCTCGGGCTCTTAGATGTGGATTCTCAGGATGTTACGCAGCCTTCTACAGCCCAGCAAGTGAGATGACCCTCAGTTTATCATCAAACAAGACGCCGGTTTCTTGGTATTTCCACAGTGTGAACGGCAGTTCTAACCTCTGATCTGCTTTCAGTCCATTTCCATCAGTGCTCTGGATGTTGGTGTGGGAGTAGAATCTGCGGAAGTTGTTCGATCTGAGCCTCAAACTGCAGTCCCACTTGTTACAATCAGAGTAAGCAGAGTTCCTCATTTAATTCTCACTGTAGGAAAAAAAAAAGTGTTTTTACAGGAAAACTCTTGACAGCAGTAGTTACCAGAGTTTTCCTTTCGAAAATTACAGATATCAAGTAAATAATGCTGTAAATATACAGTGATTGTTTTGTTATGATTATGACAATATTTTTCTGTTTTGCTTTTTATCCATCTATTGATTGGTGCATACATACAGTGCATACTGTTGCTTCATAAACTACATAGACATTTTGTTTGACAAAAGGTTTCTGTGACTTGAACACCACATTGCTGTTTTCCACTTTACAATATTTTTTGTGCTGGTTTTGCGTAGTTTTTTTTTTTATTTTGTAAACTCCTCGGCTGTTTATTCCAAAGTTCTGTGGTAGCCAAATCACACACAAAAAATAATTCTCTGCTTTTTTTGTTTCCAAGCAGCATAAACCTCAGCCATCAACAACCACGTTTGTCTTAAATCAACTGAATCAGTTGCCGTCACTAGGGGCCGCTGCCACCAAGCAGTCAGTCACCAACCCAATCAAACATACCATAACAGTCACCAAGGTGGTCCATGTCGCCAGTTCAGGACTGCGTGCTTCAGCAACCCCCCCACCCTCAAGTGTTCCTCCTTCAGTGTCCACGCTAGTGCCTTCTAACAAAGATCAGGTGTGTATTCAACATGCTGCCTTTGTTTTCAGTGTCTATTTTCGTTTTGGAATAAGTTGCTCATAAAGTTTCTTTGTTTTTGTGTCCAAGCAGATTCAGCTGAAAGACCTCCTTCGGCCCAACAAAGTGAAAACCACTATTTTAAAGGGCAACAGTCTGATGGAGCTGATGAAACTTAAACCTCCACCTG